GTACTTTTTTTTTTTTTTTTGTAATCAGTAATGGGATGTCTGATGGAACTACTACACTGGGCACTCCTTTAGGTATAGATACTACAAGATAAGGTACAATGAGGTTAGTGAGAACTTGGTAGGCAGAGTATTAATAGGATTTAAGCCCTAAGGGGAAGAATACAATAAATTGAATGATAACATTAAGAACTTCTGTTAATTACAAGTACGATTAAGAGAGTAGAAGACATGCCACAGAAGTGAATTACAATATGTAACATGTCAAAGAATTTACTTCTAGAGTGCAAGAGATCTGCAAGCCGAGGAGCAAAGGTTAAACAAAGGTGGACAAGCTCTTAAAGAGGACCTTCACAAAAGCTGGTGCCAGGAAGTTATGGAGCATGCGCTGGTATCTACCAGCAGTATTCTCAGGGGAGGTGGAGTCGACACCCCAAGGAGCCATTGCACACTCCAGATGGCTGAAGTTACATAGCATTGCTCCCTGGAGAGCTGGAGTAGACACCTGAGAGACGGTTGCATACCCTGCAGATGACTGAAGTTAACACATGCTTATATGGAGCAGCTGAAACTCTATATTTATCAGTTACTGGTTGAGTTATAAATGGGTAAATTTCCTAGAAAACTTCATGGCTATTAAAATTATCAGTTATCTCTTGCTACATTAACAAGGCACTCTAAAACTTAGTGGTTGGATAGTTTTTGTTTTTTGGTGGAAGACCTCTTATTGGGCCTTCATCCTAGGCTTTTTGATAGTGTGGTGGGCTCTGGGATGTAAAGGACAAGAACTGAAGCTTCAAGACCTCTAGAAAATTTGTGAGTTGTGCAACATCACTTCTATCACCTGCTCATTAAAACAAGTCACATAATTAAGTTCAGAGGCACAATGGAAAGGGATGTCCAAAGGTGAGGATGTAGGGGTTATGATTCATCAAAAGGCATTAGGATATCAAGTAACCATATGTAGTTGTACTGCCGGGTGAGCCCAACTAAAACAGTGCCAGAATTGATCGGAGATAATGTGCAAGATTGTTCATCCCGTATTTGCTCATGATTGTACCTAACTGTTCAGCCGTGGGAGAATGGAGAAACAAATTGTGGTGTGCTCAGTCAGCAAAACACTGTACAGTTAAAAAGACAACTGTAGCAACGTGAAGAATTTCAGTCTGAAAAAGCATATGCACTGAATACTTGTAAGTAAGTCTTAAGTGGTGGTGATGGAAAAATCAGCGTGGTGAACTGCAGTCTTGGGAAGCTGGGAGTGAAAGCACAGATAGCTGAATGAGTAGGCAGTGTTCTGCACTTCTGCCTGGTGGTTATGTCAGATGCGTATGTAAGAATTCTTGCAGTTGTGCACCTGAGAGGAAGTACATGTCACTGTTCATCTTATAGCTCAGTTCTTCACAATGCTGGGTCAGAACCATAGTTCTGCTGCTCAGCAGCCTCTGTGACTCTGAGCTAAGCAAGGACTGAAGGTGCCATGAGTGAGGGATGATCTCCAGGAAGTGGTCTTGTGAGATTTCCAAGTTATCACTCACTACTAGTTTTATTTTTAGGTTTGCATGTCATTAACTGCCAAAATACTCAATCCTGAAAGCTATTAGTTTGAACTATTTAAAATTGTCAGTTATGTCAGAAGTTATTGAAACTCATGAATCTGCTCAGATCTGTCCAAACATGTATTATTGAGTTTTTTTTTTTTAAGTTTATTTATTTATTTTATGTGGTGCTAAGAATTGAACTCAGTGCCCCATGTGTGTTTGGCAAACCCTGTACCACTGAGCCACAACCTCTGCCCTGTTGTTGCGGTTTTGATACGTGAAAATGCATTTCCCTTGAGGTTTCTGAGAGAGTGAGATTGATGACTACCCAAGAGGCACACAGCCAGTTCCTCTCTATAGCAGGGGAGCAGAGTGGTGCTTGTGGGCTTCTTTGGTATTTAAAGGGGCTTTGTGAACACTGATAGGGATCCATGATCACATGTGCTTTCAGAGATCCTCTCAGCGTTTCCCTTGAAAATGGTAGAAAATGAAAGAGAAGGAGAAGAGACTTTTTCCTTCTCTTCTGATCTTGGAAGTCAGTTTGACTTATATGGTAGAGGCGGTGTGTATACTGATGGAAATGGCAAATCAGTGATGAAATTTCTTTATTCTAATTGTGGTGTTTCTTTTTAGGAGCAGACATTAAAGACAAATTAAAATGTTATGACTTTGATGTGCATACAATGAAGACACTAAAAAACATTATTTCACCTCCGTGGGATTTCAGGGAATTTGAAGTAGAAAAACAGACTGCAGAGGAATCGGGGCTTGCACCACTGGAAAACTCCAGGAAAACTCCAGATTCCAGACCCTCCTTGGAAGAAACCTTTGAAATTGAAATGAATGAGAGTGACATGATGTTAGAGACATCCATGTCAGACCACAGCACATGACTGCAAACAGTGGTCCCTGGTGTAGGTCAGTATTCCCTTGTGTCTTTGCCATGTCTTAAGAACTTCCCACTTGCTGACATGAACCCAAACTACATCTCTATATTTAGGATCAGAGGCCTGCCTTAAGAGACTGGATAGCACACCTTTGCAACAGATCTTTTTTGATTCTCTGAACCTATAAAATAGTTACATGTAGTGGAATAAAGAAGATAAACATCCATTATGTCTCTTATTGGATAAACTGTTTTGGTCTAACTTTCGCTTTATGGAAAAGCTGGCATCATGGTAGAGAGCTTCTGTTGGTCCCTTCCCCTTGTCCCATGTCAACATCCTAATAACATTTGTTGTGGCTCAGATATCCCCAGATACATGCTGCTTTCACTTATTGTGTCCCCTTTGCACTCTGGTCTGGGGTTGACTCACAGTTTGGAGGAGCGCTCCTCAGGTGGTTTTTGGGACCTCCCTTGATTTGAGATTGTTGGCTGTGCTTCTTGTGATTGGATGAGGATTATGAATTGGGTAAAACTCAATACAGATGAAGTCCATTCCTCTTCACATTTGACACAAACCTTGGTCACGGTGGTGTCTGCCATGTTCTGACCTGTTAATTTCCTCTTTTTCCTTTGTGGGGCAGAAGGGCTGAGCTTCATTTCTTGAAGGGCAATATCCATCCATACACATTTCTTCTTGAAGATCTGCCTCTTCTTTCCTATTTATTTACTAATTCAACCATTTATATTGACTAATGGGTACTTATTTCATATTTAGAATTATAAACTTACACAGTATCACTTGTTTTGTGGCTTAAATTGTTTTAGCTTTAGCCATTGGGTGCTCTTTCAGCTTGATTTCTGTGACATGCTCCCATCCATTTGTTTTCTGGTTTTTTTTTTTTTTTTTTTTGTAGTATTAGATATAACAAACTATGTACTGTACTTAATAATAGTGTGTCAGTATTCGTTTATAATTGTAACATTACACCAGTACAAGCTGTTAACAATAGTGAATGATGTATAGGCAGAGGGAGAGAGAAGCAGTATATGGTCAGTGCTTTTTGTTTAGTTTTTCTGTATACCTGAAACTGCTCAAATAAATAAAGTCTCCTATTGGAAACATACTGATCAATCTATATATGTGTATTTTTAAATTTTCAAGTGTACAGCTTGGTGGCATTAATTAGTTTGCACTGTTATGCAGTCATCACCACTATTTCCAAAATGTTCTCATTATCCCAGGGAGAAACTTGACTCATTAGGCAATAACTCCCTACTCCTCCCTCAGCCCCTGGTAACATCTAATCTACTTGTCTCTATAAATTGGTCTATTCTAGATATTAAATAACATTCTCAAGATTTATTAAACACAAAGGTGTTGCATCTTTAAATTTCATGACACCATGTGGTGCTAGGGAAACCACATTACCCTAAAGGTGTAGAAACAAAAGTATCTGTGTCCTCAGGGAGCCACCAGAGTGACCAGGGTTCTTGAGTTCTGCTTTGTGGTGTGTAGATGATAAAGAACGTGAGTTTCCCCACCTTTTTTCACACACTCGTTAGATGACAGCTTTTTTTGTTTAAATAACTTTTTTATTCTATTTTTATGTGGTGCTGAGGATCGAATCCAGTGCCTCATGTGTGCTAGGCAAGTGCTCGACCACTGAACCACAAACTCAGCCCAGATGATATAGCTTTTTTTTATTTTATTTTTTTATTTTTTTTTTATTTTTAGTTTTTGGCGGACACAACATCTTTGTTTGTATGTGGTGCTGAGGATCGAACCCGGGCCGCGGGCATGCCAGGCAAGCGCGCTACCGCTTGAGCCACATCCCCAGCCCTGATATAGCTTTTTTTAACTTTAACACTTTAGTAAATGTTAAAGGCTGTTTTGGCCTGTTTTTATCTTTTAGAATGTTTTGCACTTGTCTCACATAATATTAAGACTGAAGATGGGATTCATGTGAAATAAGCAAGTGATAATTGGTCATAAGTCATTTTTAATACATCACAGCTAAATTACTGTATTATAGGTGCACCTGAAATCAGCCATACAGAATTGATTGAAATGCCCCCATTAAATTAGGTGTTTTAGTCAGCTTTTTTTGCTCCTGTGACCAAAAGACCTGACAAACAATTTTAGAGGAAAAGTTTATTTGGGGCTCACAGTTTCAGAGGTCTCAGTCCATATACATGGCTGACCTCCATTGCTTGGGGCTGAAGGTGAGGCTGAATATCATGGTGGAAGAGTGTGATGGAGGGAGGTGGCTCAGGACATCACACCAGGAAACAGCACTCTTCCCAACACGGCAAAATATAAACCCCAAAGGCACACACCCAGTGACCCACCTCCTCCAGCCACACCCTACTTGCCTATAGTACAACCCAGCTAATTCCTGTAGGGGCTAATGCACTGATTAGGTCCCAGCTGTCGTAACCCAACCATTTCACCTCTGCCTTCTTGCAGTGTCCCACACATGAGCTTTTGGGGGACATTGGGCATCTAAACCATGACACTGGGGTCAAGAGAAAAGTTCTTGTACAGTTTTATACATTTGGCTAGTGATTTTATTTTTTGGAAAGATGTTAGAATTTTTTAAATACATATTATAAGTGATACAAGACAATTTTAAAATTTTTTTCATAACTGAAATTAGCCAAGGAGTCTTGCTGTGACTCCCAGGTGGGAGTTTCGTTAACCACACAGTCTGCCCATTTACTCAGTCTCTCAAACTCTTCCAGTCCTCTCTTCAGTGGACACATTGCCTACTTTTTCATAGAAAAACGTGGTTATAACATTTATTCACAGTATCATTAATAAATAAGGTGTTATAAGAGATGAACTTTACTAGCAAGTGAAGTGCTCCCTTAAATACCCAACCTTTTTTTCTTAAGCTATTTAAAATGTATGTTTTTTTTCTACCTTCGTAAGCAGAACAATAGTGTCTCTTGTGGCGTGAGGGTAAGGCTTATCCATCACCCTTGAGTCTCTTAGCGTCTCAAAGCTCCGTTATTTCATTCTTCAGTTTCTTCTTTTATTTATGCTTGAAACACTTGGGAGAAAGATGTGATAGCCAAAGGGAAACATGAACCAACAGGAAGGTGTGGCACGAGAACCGGTAATAAGCTGCAAACCGGGCTTTCAGGTGTCAGTAGCCGCGGCTGCAAGTGAAGCCCGCCGCAGGGACGCGGTACGCAGGGGCGCAGKTCTGCAGCCGCTCATTCTCTCAGGATGAAATTCGGAGTTCCTGGATCGCAACACCAGCCTCAGCACCTGCCCGCAGGACCGGAGCACCAGGTAGCGCGTCCGGGAACCAGACCTCTGGAAGCGCAGGAGGACGCCTAGAGCCAGAGGGGTCTGGCAGGATGCGCCGGGGGCGGGGCAGTGGCGGCCGACGTCTCGCGAGGTTTCATCCTCGCGCAGGCGGCAGCGGCTGGCGGCGAGTACGGGATGCGCTCCGAGAAGGAACGGGCCGGAGGCCCGGGCGCGACCGTTGGTACCCGGGGCCCTGGCGGGAGGGAGAAGCTGTCTGCCGCGGAAGTCCAGTTCCGCCGTGAGTCACCACGACGAGAACCCGAGCCGCCAGCCTCTTCCTCTGGCTGCGGGGGCGGGGCCGGCAAGCCTCGCGAGGAGAAGAGGACGGCTCTGAGCAAGGTGAGCTGGGCCTGGGGCGGGCGGGCCGCGAAGCCTCGCGAGAAGAGGACGGCCCTGGGCCAGCGTGGGCGGGGCCGGGGGTGGGCCGGACCTGCGAGCTCTGCGGGACGGGCACGGCCCTGAGGAAGGAGGGGCGGGGCCCGGCCGGGCCGCCGGACTTCTGCAGGAGGAAGGGGCAGCCCTACGCGAGGCGGGGCCGGGCCTGGAGGGCCGGGAGAACTTCACTAGGAGAAAGGGACGGCCCTAAGCAATTGCGGGCGGGACCAGGGGCCGGCGGGGCGGGTGCAGAACTTCCCTAGGAGAAAAGGAGGGCCCTAAGCGAGTGTAGGCGGTCCCGGGGCGGGGCAGCTCGAGGCCGAAGGACGGCCCGGAGCTGGTGTGGACCGGACCGGGAAAAGCGAGGTGTGCCTGGTAACGGGAGGATGGCTCTGTGCAGGTGAAGGCTTGGTCCGCGGGGCACTGCGGTATGAGGGGTGGGAGTGCCCGCTGTGGGTTGGCCGCAGTGTGTCTGGGAGGGGAGCAGGTCTCCTAGGCCCGCGGGACCCTTGGTTGCAGGATGAGATGTGCTGGGCGGGGGTGTGTGCGCGAGGCCGGAGAGACCTTCGGCTGGAGGGTGGGATGCACACTGAGGCTGGCCGGTCTTCCGGCTGGCGGTCAATTGGGGGACGCCCCAGGAGTGACAAGCCGGCGTTGTCCCTCAGGTGGTCCTCAGACGGCTGCCACCAGGCGTCACAAAGGAGCAGCTGGAGGAACAGCTGCACCCACTGCCTGCGCACGACTACTTTGAGGTGGTGGCCGCTGACCTCAGGTAGGTTTTGGCGCCCAGGTTCGTGGTGTGGGCGAGAAGCTGAGGGTAACAGCAACCCACTCCTTTCCCATCTCCCCACAGGACCCAGAAGTTCTCACAGACTGCAGGACATTCCTGAGTTGGCAGGGCATTAATGGAACTTAGCAAGAGCCCTCTGTGATGTCCTCACAGTCCAAAAGTTATTTGGTGACATCAGACCTTACTCCATGTAGCTTTAAAGCATGTGAAGAGAGAACAGTTGGTCAGTCCTGCATGTATACCCTGGTGTTGCTAGTGAAGACCAGTCCCCAGGTGGCCTCGGGCTTCTCCTAGCTGCCACACCTGCCAGCTGGGTCCTTCTCAGTACCTGGACATACCTGCCTCTGTCTAAGTCCCTATTTAACAGAGGTGGCTATGAGATAGGGGAGGAAGGCTGAGTTTGCTGTAGACCCCATACTGTGTGCCACTGTAAGTACTAAAGTGCCTGGAAGTGCCTCTTCTTCTTCGGTATAGATGGTACAGTCAGCATTCTCTTCTCAGAGGGCACAGTGGCCTGCCTGTCCTGATGCCACAGGTGACCTTTGTTTCCTGGCTCTGCACAGTGGCAAAACTAGCCCAAAGCATTCTCCCCAGTAAAAAGCCCTCAGGTTGTGACTTATTTGTGTTTTCAGTTTCTTGCAGAAAAATATCCAGATTGTTATAATTAACTGAGAGATGAACCTTTGACAGAAGGGCTGTATCTGAAGTAGTTTGCCATTTCCAGAAAAGAAGAAAAAGGGCAAAGTTCCAGGAGTATTTCATCTTTACTAACTGCTTCTGCTGTCCTGTATTTCAGTCTGCACCCTCATCTGTACTCCAGAGCATACATTAATTTCAGGGACCCTGATGACATCCTTCTGTTCAGAGATCGTTTTGATGGATATGTCTTCATTGGCAATAAAGGTTGGGTTCCTGGCTTTTAAACTCTTCTAATGAAGATGGGATGTTTGTGAGTTTTGATTAAGAAATTCTCAGTCATATAAAGTAATACCATAAAATTTGACTGCTACTCTATCATGTGCTGATACATTAAAAACATTAAAATGAGGGCTGGAGTTTTGGCTCAGTGGTAGAATGCTTGCCTGGCATGGGTGAGGCCCTGGGTTTGATCCTCAGAACCACATGTAAATAAATAAATTAAATAAAAGATCCATTGACAACTAAAAAATATTTTTAAAAAAAACATTAAAATGATAAACCAAGGAATTCTAGAAATTGAGTGATGATGACAAGGTTATCATTAGAAAATGGAGTTTTTTGAGTCAATTCTCTGGATGAATGAACTTTATGTCAGAACTAAGTTATTTTTCCTGTAATTGAAAGAAAATCTCTAAATGTATCTATATCTTGTCTTCCTAAATGAAGTATTCTGCAGTGTATTCTTGATTAACAGTTCTTGATAATGTTGTGGGGAAGGGGTTGAATCTGTGACTGATTGTGCTGGGTGGTATTGCCTGGGGGCTGCCTACCCTTTCTGGACCTGCTTTTGGTGTTTTTCTTTCTCCTCTCCTGTCACATGGTCCTGTGCTGTTGAGTCTATAGATCATTGATGGCAAACTGTTTTCAGCCCCCCACTGCCTGCCTCTTGCCATTCACCTCCCCTCCTCCACTGAGGGTGTCAGACTAGAGGAGGTCATTAGAGTGGCAGAGCTAGGGGCCAAGACACAGTCAAGTAAAGGGAAGTTTTAGTACTTGAACTATCAGGACATTTGTGTTAATTGCACTGTTCTTTGTCTTTATTTTTTTTTTAACTTTTTAAAAATATTGGTAAAATATAGATAACAAAATTATTGATTTTTCCTTTTTTAAATGTACAGTTCAGTAGTGTTAGGTATATTCACCTTATTCAACTAATTGCCAGGATTCCCTGCAGCTCACAAAACTGAAACTATACCAGTTAAATACTAATTCCACATCCCTCATCCCCAGCTCCTGGCAACCCCAGGTCTATTTCTGTTTCTGGGGTATGAATTTGACTACTCTGCATACCTCTTATTAGTGAATCACAGCATTTGTGTTTCTGTGACTGGCTTATTTTTGTGACTTAGAATAATGTCTTCAAGGCCCATCCATGTTGTAGCGTGCTACAGAATTCCCTTCCTTTGTAGGACTGAATAATATTCCAGGTTTTAGCTGTGTGAACCTGAGTGTACAGATAGGTCTTTGAAATTCTTCTCTGAGTTCATTTGTACAAGTACCCAGAGGTGGGATTGGTGGGTATACGGTCACTCTATTTTTAGTATTTTGAGGAGCTGCCAAGCTGTTCCCCAGTGACTATGCTCTTCTGCATTACCACCAGCAGTGCACAAGGGCTTCTGTTGTTCTTCTTCCTCACCAGCATGTATTTTCTGTTTGGCTCTCATATCGCATTGTGATTTAGATTTGCATCTCTGATGTCTGTTGAGGCAGTCTCATACTATGCATGCTAGCCTCTTGTAGATAATCTTTGGGGGAATACTTAATTCAAGTCCTTTGTACATTTCTTTCTCTCTCTCTCTCACTCTCTCTTTTTTTTTTTTTTTTTTTTGTGGTGCTGGGAGTGAACTTGGCTTCATGCATGCCATGTAAGCACTCTACCACTGAGATACATGCCGAGCCTGCTCTGTCTGTTTCTCAGTCAGTACCTCTCTGTGGCTGAATACAAGTCTGTGTGCATGCTGGATGTTAGCCTCTTCAGATATAAGATTCCCAAACATTTTCTCCCATTCCACACATTGTTTTTATTCTGTTGATTGTATTCTTTAATGCATGGAAGTTTAAAACTTGGTGCCAGTTGATCTATTTTTCTATGGCTGCTCTTGCTTTTAGAGTTGTATCTGAGAACTTATTGCCAAATCCAGCAGTTTAGGGCTTTTCTGCTACGTTTTTTCCAAAGAGTTTTAAGCCTTTCATTTAGGTTTGTTCCATCTTAATTTTTGTAAATAATGTTGGGTAAGAGTCCAATTTAATTCCTTTGCACCGGATTCAGTTTTCCAAGCACCATTGTTGGAGAGTCCATCCTTCCCCCATTTAGTCATGACAGCCTTTTCAAAAGTCACTTAAACATAAGTCCAGGGGACTTTCTGGGCCCTGTGTTGTAGTTCCCTGGGGGGTATGTCTGTCTTCAGGCCAGTACTACGCTGTTTTGATGACTGTACTTTGGTAGTGAGTGTGGAACTGATTTCCCTGAGGAGCATTCTGCTGTTTTAGCATGTAACTGCCATGTCCCGGGAGTCGGTGCAGGAGGGAGTTGACATCGCCTGCTGAAGTGCCTTTTTCATTCTCATTCTTGACTTTATTCTGTGTAGTTGAGGTTGGCACAAAAAAAATGTCTTCCAGATAAATGGGAATCAAAAATCAGTCACCTGACCATTACTGACATTACTGAAAATAATYATTCATTAGATTTGGCTCCAAGGTGCTAGTGCTTCATGTGTTGATCAAACATGTGACAGATATTTTTCAGTGAGCATCTGTTTTCTTTCTCCTGCTCCAAATAGTAACAAATCAGTTTCTACTGCTTCCATTCTCTACATTTTTATTGGAAACAAATTTTATTTGGAACATGATACATACCCTTGAAGCACCCTTTCCCTTTAGTTCTGTGTCTGTTATAAGCGAAGTAATTTCCTTGAATTGTATAACAGATTGGTAACTGAATTAACCTTTGAAAACAACAACAAAAATTATATAGCTAAGTTGGCTAAAGATGTTTCAGTGACAAGAGTGTTTGGAAGGGGATGGGGAGGTCAGTCTGGTGAAATCCACCCTTTCAAGTTAGCAGTCTGAAGATCTGAATGTGTTCAGCCATGAAGCCCCACAGTGGGGCATGTCATTAGTGAAGATTGTCCTCCCACCAGCTTGTCCTTTGTTTAAGTCTGGAGTTTGCTTGATCTTAGGTGAGTGAGCAAGGCAGAGTTCAGAGTTTGGACTGTGTCTTGGTCACAGGCCTGGAGTACCCTGCAGTGGTGGAGTTTGCCCCATTCCAGAAGATAGCCAAAAAGAAGCTGAAGAAAAAAGACACTAAGACCGGGAGCATCGAAGATGGTAAGACTATTGAAATGCTGGATCAGGAGCTGTGAGGTTAGACACCTGGCCCAGTGTCATCCTCTCCTGTGTGTGAGGAGGAATATGTTTATTTTTTTTCTTTTTTCAACTTACAGATCCAGAATACAAGCAGTTTTTAGAAACATACAGTGTGGAGGAAGAGAAAACCAGTGCCAATCCTGAAATCCTTCTGGGAGAGGTAGAGGCAAAGACAAGAGAACTCGTTGGTCTGTTTTTCTCATTTCTCTTTTCTTTATGGAGATACTCATATATAGAATATTTATTCCTTCTTTTCATGATTATGGTAAAGATTTAGTTTGTTGTAGACTTGGCAGAATTGCAATGTTTTTCAGGTTTTTTTCTTAAATTTATTTTTTGGTTTATTTGACAATACCTTTATTTTATTTATTTTTATGTGGTGCTGAGGATCGAACCCAGGGCCTTACACGTGCTAGGCGAGTGCTCTACCGCTGAGCCACAGCCACAGCCCCAATGTGTTTTTCTGTTTTGACAGAAGGGTGGTTGACAGAGGGCATGGATGTTTCTGAGCTTTACTGATGGAGAGCACCTGAGTTTCTAGACAGTCACTCTAAGCCACACCCTCTGAAGGATCAGTGCTGAAGACATGGGAGTGCTCTGGCCGTCTGGAGCCAGTAGAGATGAGGTGCTGCAGTCAGAAGAGTACCAAGCACTGGGGGAAGCCAACCAAGCCCGTGGACACCCAGCCAGAGCACAGGGTCTGGTTAGGATCCAACTGAACCCTGTACCCCAGAAGCAGTCACATCCCTAGACACTCCCCTGTGAATGCGAAGTCTCTTCTCTGTCACCAGGCAGATGCTGTAGTTGAGTGCCACGTGCACCTGGCAGTGTCCTCCTTCCCCGCTGGTCTGCTTAGTGCCGGGCCTCTCTACCAGGCCCTATTGCATCTCCACGAGACTGTTCCTGCTCACTTAAGACTTGTGTGATGTGACAGTCACTGTTAAATTTGTTTTTTTATCTGTTGGTCTCATTCCATGTAAACTCCCTCTCCTTTCATTTTTCCACTTCCCCAAGGGAACCATATTTTCAACTTTGTTCTCCCAGAGCATAGTAGTTTAGGAGTTGAGTACAGTTGAATGAAGAAACAGGCTGGAGGCTGGGACTTTGCGGGAGCAGAATGCATTATCTGCTGTGTGTCGAGAGGCATAGGAAGCCTGGTGTCTTCTGGGGGTACTAGTGAGGTGCCTAGAGTGCTTCTTTTTTTTTTTTTTTTAGAGAGAGTGAGAGAGGAGAGAGAGAGAGAGAGAATTTTTAATATTTATTTTTTAGTTCTTGGCGGACACAACATCTTTGTTGGTATGTGGTGCTGAGGATCGAACCCGGGCCGCACNGGCGGACACAACATCTTTGTTGGTATGTGGTGCTGAGGATCGAACCCGGGCCGCACGCATGCCAGGCGAGCGCGCTACCGCTTGAGCCACATCCCCAGCCCCCCTAGAGTGCTTCTAGGGAGCCACAGGAGCTGATTTGTTTGCTCCTGTCATTGCTGCATCCAGGGTGGATTGTGAATATCAAGGGACAGGCTTGGGCACTGGCTGAGAGGCTTGCGTACCCAGGAGGCTACTGGTACTGGACTGGGAGATGCAGCATATATTTTGGAGGTAAAATAGTTAGGGAGGATAGGTGGATTGGTTGTAGAATATAAGTGACAAGGGCTGGGGATATAGCTCAGTTGATAGAATGCTTGCCTTGCATCCACAAGGCCCTGGGTTCAATCCCCAGTACTACCCCCCCCCCAAAAAAAAAAAGAGCTGATAAGTGACAAAAAGAATTAAAGGCTCCAAATTAAAATCATGAAGTGAACCCTGTTATGAAGGGCAGACTCTGTCTGGATGACCTCCTTGTTATGAAGGGCGGATTAGCATTTGTGGTATGCATTCTACAGTTTCTTCAGATTCATGTAATGATGGTGCTGTTTTTGAACAGCAGTACTTACAGTATCATTTTCTGAGCTGCAGTCTATATTCTGATTTTACAGAGAATGAATGTACAGGTTGAGTATCCTATATCTGAGATGTTTGGGACCAGAATTATTTTGGATTTAGGACTATTCTGAGGGCTTGGAATATATGCATGCATTTAATAAGCCACCTTGGGGCTGGCCCAGGTCCAAACATTCAGCTCCCATGTTTCAGCACACCTTGCACTTCACCTGTGGGGGGTTCTGCACTATTTTTCAGCACTTGCATTTTGAATGACTTATCACATGAGATCCGATGTGGGGTTTTCCATTCAAGGTGTCAAATCAGTGTTCAAAAGTTTCAAACTTTGGAACATTTCAGATTTTGATTAGGGATGCTCAACCTGGATTATAAAAAATTGCAAGAACCTACAGGTTTATAACTATTGTATAGGAAATAGAGAAGTATTAAAGTGAATATATGAATTTATAATTTAATGATTTCTTTAAACATACAAAGACATATTTGTAACATTTGGCAAGTTAAACATATTGTTCTCATTTTACTTTTATACTGTCTTTGTGAATAGTATTTTATTTTATTTTATTTTTGGTGGTGCTGGGGATTGAACTCAAGGCCTTGTGTATGCTAGGCAAGCACTCTACCAAGTGAGCTATCTCCCCAGCCCCCATGAGTAGTATTTTATGACTCCCTTAAGAGTCAAGAGCTGCATGTCTACTGGGCATTTCCAGATTGCTTGGTTTATAGTAATGGAATAAGAACTCCCCTGGATACAGTGCACGCTCATGTAGATTTTTAAAATAACATATGTCCCCAAATTAAAGGTTAAATTGAAAATAAGTATTTAAATAAGAAAATTTTATTTAGAAGTTACATGTGTGCATTACAGTTTTTTGTGTTTTAGCTAGAAGAACCACGCCTCTTTTGGAATATATTAAAAATAGAAAATTAGAAAAGCAGGTAGGTCTGGCATTTACCTGGTGAATATCCTTTTTGCATCTGCTGTTTCCATTCAGAAAACTTACACAGTACTTGTCCATACCTTCAGAGAATTCGAGAAGAGAAGCGAGAAGAACGGAGGCGGAGAGAGCTAGAAAAGAAACGTTTGCGGGAAGAAGAAAAAAGAAAGAGAAAAGAAGAAGAAAAATGCAAAAGAAAGGAGGCAGATAAACAAAAGAAGACTGCTGAGAAAGAAGTGAAGATCCAGGTAGTTGTGAGGAACCATTCCATTTTTTTTTTTCCAAAAACAGTTTCGCTATGTGAATTATGCTTTTGAGGTCTTTTAGGTCCTTAGGATTTTAAGCAGATTTTCAGTTAACCTAGTCTTTATTGTTAGAGCTCCCTTTCCATTCTATAGCTGGGGTTTTTAAGGCTGTGCCCAGCCCCAGGGGCTCCTGGACTGTCTATGGGGACCACAGGACCTGGAGAGCAGAGGAGCCCACATATGGGGTATCTGCTCACATCTTTCTTTAAAGAAAAGTTTTCCTGGCTGAAAAGTACCCATTTAGATCACTGTCTTTCCATGTGCTCAAACTTGGGCTCATCATTCTCTTGTGGTGACAGCTCTTTCTCATCTAGTTTCTCTTATGAGGCATGTATTTGTTCAAATACTTCAAGGGGATTTTTCTTTGTAATATGTTTTGGTCAGAATTGGGATCAGCTTTGTCTGCTTGGGACCTTATTAAACCCAGATTTCAGTCCAATGTGATTGTATCTAACTTCACAGAGGTGCCTTAAATCCTCTGTGAAGTTAGGTACCTTATAGAGGCTCGATAGAATTGTACAACACAAAGAAAAAGAAAAAACATCAGGACTCAGGGAGAGTGGGAAAGAGACAGCTATAGCACAGATTACTTTCTGATACACTCTCTAGTCAGAAATAGAAAATTTGGTCAGAATCATGCTTCTCAGAAAACACCAGCTCTTCCAGGAAGTGGAGTTTTCTCTGGGTCTTTTTTCTAAGAGAATCTCTCCTGGGGATTCGCTAGCCACAGAGAGGACAGTTTCTCAGCAGCATCCCACAGAAGCACGCAGATATGTGTATCTGTCAGGACTGCTATTCCCAGAGTCTCACAGCTTGGCCTGGTCAGGGCATCCTGCTGGGTGAGTGCTGTGCATCTCTGGGCACTGCTGCTGGTGCTATACCTGAGCTGATAGAGTGTCCCCCTTGGTATTTGCTTTTACCATCTTGAGGATGAGAAAGGAAAATGGACGTGGGAGACTGGACATGGATTCTTAAAACTGCACATGGAAGTCATGCATGTGATCTTCCCCATGTAAGTGGCCAGGACAACTCACATGGCCCCTTAGTTCAGAGGGAAAGCTTGAGACTATGAAGACTGACATAGCTGCTGAGGACTGTGTCTCCAACTGTCTCTAAAAGCTTAAGGACATTTGTGCAAAGTAGACTTCATGATGGGACAAGAGCCAGGCCACTCAAGCCCACTTGCTTCAAAAGTGGAAGCAGGTTCTCCAGGTAGGCAGGTAACCATTTGTGCCAGACAGCCACCCATAGAGTTCAAGTTGACTGGGGTAAGAAGTGGGTGCAGATCTGTGTTGGTTTAAAATATATAGTCTGATAGTGCTATTGAAATCAGAGAGCCTAGCTGTGACTACATAGACAGACACCTGATGGTGGATCAGGGGTTTTCCTCAGGAAGCTGCCTGGAGCACGGAGAGTTCTCTGTGTATGTGTGGGTCAGGGCTCATTCTCCATGGTACAGTGAAGTCTGGCTGCGAAGGGAGGTGCCCATCTGCTGTGACCAGTGCCGCCAAACTAGCAGGTTTCAGCGAGGGGCATGGGATATTTGAAGGAAATTAAAGAGTCAACACATGCAAATCGCTGCTCTCTGGTGGCAAAGCAGGTCTAAAAAATTACACCAGCAATCTTTATTATTATATGTCTCTAAATCAGGTTAAATACTATGCAAGCATTATTCTTTGTATTCATGAAAGTTACAGAGTTAGCAAGAGTATGCAGCTATTTCCTCAGTTACATTCTACAGTTGCAATGGGCAATGTTAGGAGCCTTGTGCATCTCTCAAGAAAGTCCATTGTTTAAAGTTACTAACTCACTTGCAGATTAAGGAGCAGCGGAACTGGTGAAATGTTGTTATCTTAGCAGGGAAGTTCCTTGGTTCCCAGGAGCTGCCTTGCCTGTCAATAAGGTTGAAGCTGATAAGACTCCAGCATGGAAGATATCTCCATAGCAACTAGGCATCTATGCCTTTGCACAGAAACTTTCCCAGTCCCCAAGTATGCCACAGTCATGAAGTCATCAGGGACCTTAATCTCAGATACTGGTCTCCCAGTCACTGTCACCGCTGTCTACATCTGTCATTCCAGAACTCAGTTCTGTCTTATTGTCGTGTCCAGGAACACGGAGGGGACACCCTGTGAACCTTAGCAGCTAACCCAGTGCCTGCCTGATGCTTTATAGTCCGTAGATTACCACTAGTTTTTCAAAAAGAACCATGGAAACTTGTAGTCTATAATTTCAACTATAGTTTTTAAGTAGGACTTTTGAAGTATTTGGAGTATAGTGTTTTATTTCCGTATTTTTGAGTATGCAATTAAAATTTAAAATAAGCTAAATAAATAAATAAAATTTAAGTCAACAAAAGTAAGTCCAGCATCCTTCATAGGAGGAAGAAATTAGAACATGACAACAGCTAGACTAGAGGAAGAGCTAGGCAGGTCAAACCTGAGAACAGCTGTGGCTCCCAGCCTAAGGTCATCCACCTGTTTAGCTCTTAACAGGCAGGTGTGTGTGATTTGGGATCTCTGACTTGTGAATCAGCTGGAGAGTTCCAATTTTTTAAGAACCTCAAAAATAAAACCTGCAGCAATGTCAAAAGAAGTCATACAAACAGCCTAAGGGTGTTGTTCATAGAGAAAGGAGCACAGGGGCCAAAGCCCACAGGGAGCTTGATGGGGAGGTTGGGTCCCAGAGATGCAGATAGAATCCCTGAATCAGTGGTGGCTCTAGACCAGTTATCTGGAGAAGTTCTGACTGGTGTTGGGCTGTGCATATGTAGTGCAAACACAGACCAGGACCTGATTACATGTATGAGCATCAGCACACTTGTACCAGACAGGAACATGCCTGACCTCAGCAGCCCTTGGTCTCTGGAAGCCTCGCTGTGTTGCGCTTCCTGAGCCCAAAGTGCTGTCCCCACTGTCTTGCTCCTGGCTCACCCCAGCCCTGCTTGCTTTGTCCTTCTTAAACATATGGACTGCTCTCCCCAGCCCTGCCCTGGCTGCTCCTCTCCTGGCCTCAGTTTCTGTCTCACCTCTGCAGAGTCTCCCTTCTTCTGCCCCTCTCCCTGGGTCTCTGTGCTTCTCAACTCTGGTTTAGTATGTATGTGGAGCTTTCCACCTCTCCCTGAACTGAGCTTGTTCCTCTCCACCCCTAGGAGGACTACTGTCTTGGCTAGAATGCCAGCCATGGTGTGGGGGGACATCTGTCTCACAGCCACATTCCCAGTGATCAACAGAGGGTCCTCTCGTGCCCAGTCTCAACTGAGACACTTGGTCTCTGCAGAAGGATGTCTTGTATGCCAGCAAGAGAGCCTCAGCCTGGGGACTGGTTGCCAGAAAGACCAGGGTGGGACTGGAGAGTGGGGCTTTGAGCCCACCTGCAGTCTCCCAGGAGGGCTGGTGATTATTAGTCACTAGCAGCTGGGGACTCAATCCTGCCTTTGTGATGAACTTCAGAATAACACCTAAGATTCCTCCAGGTTGGTGAACACGGAGATTCTGGGTGGGTTTGAGCTGGAGTCAGGGCACATGGCCCCCCGCAGCCACACCAGGGAGGGGCTCCCAGTTGCACCTGTACAGTACAGAGTGGTGGGAAGTGGAGTACCCCTGAGTTCTGTAAGTCCTTACTGCTTATCCAGTCTTTGCCAGGATGGGTAAGAGGGTCAGAGGCACCAGTGACAACCTGAGTTCTGCACCTGGAGCGGGAACCTGCCTGGGGACAGACACCAGGTAGATGTTCTTGTAAGTGTGAGTAACTGCGGTTTTAGGCACATGAAATTATTTGTTGAGTGAAGGGGCATGGAGACCATTGTACTTCTATAATGCTCATATTTATCTCAGACACACTGCTGATGTAATTTAAAGGAAGGTGGACAGTTCCCTAAAAAGGAATGTCGAAGGTCGTGACTCCACACAGCTGCAGGAAGAGGGCATTGCTGGTTGACATCCACAGGGTGAGAGACGGCTGGTGCTTGTCTCGGGGATTCCTTCAGTGGAGCATGCCATGTCAGGGGTTCTCCTGCACTGCAGGTTTAAACACGCTCCCTTCATGGGTGAGGACAGAGGTCTCCAGAGCGCACCTCCTAGTGGTGCACAGAGTCTCTGTGGTGCTGGGCTCTGGGGGGCCCCAAGTGCAGATGTCCAACCCCTGCTTCAAGGAATAGAAAAGGCAGTGTTTGAAAACTATAGACTGGGAGCTGGGGATGTGGCTCAGTTGGTAGAGTGCTAGCCTCACATGCACAAGGCCCTGGGTTCAATCACCAGCACCACCAAAAAAAAAAAAAGAACTGACAACCATAGATGTTGTAAAGAACAGACCTGTGGGTGACAAGAAGGGGAATGCTTAGAGTTCCACCACCAAGAATGGTGATGGGTGAGTGTCAGAGCCTGCGGGCAGTGTGTGCTCGTGGGCCAGGCTGCAGTGGTCTGACCCTTCTTGGTGTCCCCCATTGTTGAACGACGTGGCTGTGTTGTGTGTACATAAAACCGGATCATGTGGCTGTTCTATTCTGTAATGAGCATCTTTTCATTTCAAAACATCATTTTTCATAACTGTAGAATATTTCATTGACAGATCCACTGTGTGTTGAACCAAAAACCTGCTTTTTGTACCTCTGGTTTAATTCTTTAGCTATTGAAGCATTTGGGCTTGATACTGATATGCATTTTTTAATTACTTAAGTTTCTTTTATAATATGCTCTGGAATGCTGATTTGTTAATGTTACAATTTCTCAGCTTCTTAAGAAACCAGAAAAAGGAGAGGAATCAACCACTGAGAGACCAAAAGAAAGAGGAGAAGAAGCTGGTGTTGGAGATGGCAGGCGGGAAGCCCACGCCCCCTGCACAGTGATGAAAACCAGGCTCCCGGAGAGCCTGCCGGAGGCGCTCAGGGAGAAGTGAGTGAACTTTCCTACCACCCGTGGCATGGATCCACAGTGTCAGCATGTGTGTCATGTGTTCTGGGAGTCTGGAGAGTGCTGCTCTCATGCCTTTGCCTCAGTCTTGCCAGGAGCATGGTGGACACGGGGCCTTCGGTCAGGTTGCACCCAGTCAGCAGGGCACCCTCTTCAGCCTGCACTCAGGCCTGCAGGCACTGCCTCCATGGGCTGTCCTCCTGTCAGGTGTGCCTGTTTGTTCTTCCAGCACCCCGTCTAGCCCAGTGTTTCCTACTGGCCAGGTCTTTGTGGTAGAGAAGTAGATCTTCGGTGCTTGGTCCTCCTGCTCCTGCTTCCCCTTGCCCTTGCCTCCTTCCTTACCCCTCTGCATGGTTCTATGGAGGGGGCTGAGGTGTAGAGGCAGCGTCTGTGTTGTTGGCCCACAGGTCACAGGATGACAGTGATGGAGAGCAAAGGGACCTGGAGAGAAGACCTCGGGGGAGAGAAGCTGAAATGCTGAGGTGCCACCTGGACAGCAGCAGAAAACATGGTGCTAACTCTGAGTTTGACAGGTTTGCCAGGAGGAACGAAGATGAGCTGAGATGGGCCAGAGAGTCCACCCAAGATAGAGGGAAGAAGGGGCACCAGGACGGGGGCATCCCCATGGAGACGGCAGAGAGGCTGGCCAGGGAGAAGGAGGACAATGGCCTGACCCCCAGGAAGGAGCGTCTGGGAAGCAAGGTCCTCTGAGCCCCTGGGCTGGTCCTCCCGCAAAGCTCTGCTCCAGGGCATCCCTGTACTTTGGCAGTCTCATGACTGCCTTTTCCAAATTATCTCATTAAATCAAACAAGAGAATCTGCCTAGCGTGTAGCGTTCCTGCCTAGTGTGTGGTGTCCCAGGACGGGTCTCCCACCGCGTGAGGCCCCCGCCCGTAGATTGACTTGTCATGGTCTTCTGGAGCTCTCAATCTCTTGGGGCACATCAAACCTGCAGTGAGCACCGGGCAGAGCCCACTGTCTCCTCAGAACCAAGTTGCTTTTCACCAAGAAAACTGTCTTGTTTAGTCCACGCTAGACATTTAACCCACTGACTTCAGAGTGAGACCCTAGCATTTACCCTTCAGACAACAGGAAAGCACCAGTGGCATGCACACGGCCTCCGAGCACCCAGTGGACATGGTGTTGGGTCCCGCTCAGCCCAGTGACAGCTTCTCTTTCACTTTTTTTTTTTTTTTTTGGTGCTGGGGATTGAACCCAGGGTGCCTTACCACTTAGCTACATTCTTAGCCCTTTTTGTTTTTTATTTTGCAATAGGGTGCAAGTTGCTGAGCCTGGGTCTCCAGCTCATGATTCTCCTACTTAAGCCTTCTGAGTTGCTGGGATTATAGACCGCTGTGCCCAGCTGAATTTCACTTTTGTTTGGTCGCATTTTCCCAGAGAAGCATTGGTACTGTATTGGTAACAGAGCTGGGTTCCACGTCCATGCTTGCCCAGCCTGCTGAGCAACTTGACTGTCCTCTATCTCTGGTTTGTCATTTTAAGAATATGAATGGGAATTTGATGTGTGACCCTGGAGACAGGCTGTCTCCATTCCATTCACTTGCAATCCACTGGAGCTGAATGTTGGTGATGTTCATTTGTCATGTTTCAGGAAAGACCAGCCTAAGACCCAGAGGAGAGCTTCATGCATGATAGTCTTATAGTACTTGACATTTCTGTAGACCCCTTAATCTCAGGGGACAGCCATGGGCCTTTTTTGAGAGAGCACCTTCACCTGCTTCCCTCCTAGCTGCCTGTGTAGGCAGTGGTGGTAGTCTGTTAGTCTTCAGTGGCCCACAAGGCCTGCCCCAACATGGTGTGTTGAGGCACTTTGGGATGACAGTTGCTACTTAGGAGGCCAGGATGCAGACACCATCCTGGGGAGGATGAGGCCCTGGAATGTAGACCAGGTGCCTGCTGAGCCTCTTTCTGCTCTTCTCACTGGTCTAAAAAGAAGTAATGCTAAACACTTGGAGTAACTTCCGGGGGCCCCACACCCAGACCGGCACTAGGTCATGGTGAGCAGTGCGTCTTAAGAGAGGAGAGCTTGTCTGCAGGTCATTCAGGTCACGTGTGGGGCCCGTGGTGGCCAGGAGGGTGCTGGGCAGGGAGCCTGCTCCTGGGGCTCTGGGCTGTGAGGGAAAGAGGATTTGTCTCCTCCCTGTTGCTCCGATGTGGTGGAAAGCTGGCTGGCTTGTTCCAGAGAGGAGCTGCCTCAGCCTTGGTATCCTCAGCCGTAGTCATGTGCTATGGCTGTGCACCCTTGTGCCCTGACATGGTTGCTTTTCATGTCCTCAGTCCTGCCTGCTAGTGGAATTAAATCAGATCAGAACACAAGGGTAGTTGTCTCACACAGCAAAATTCATTTGCAGCAATCAAGGAGACCACAGAGAATCACTACCAAAGCCATGACTTCCAAAGGTTCAGGCAAGCTTGCAGGAGGCTGCATCCCATGCACAGTGGGAGATCCTGCCTTCCTCCCTTGTGATAGAAATGAGGCTGTAGTTCTTCCCTGGGAGGACATTTGGTGTTACAATGAAGTGAGTTGGTGTCTGCCACAGCACATACTCCTTAGGGTAGCTAGTGGAACATTATTTTTGAAAAACATCTTGGGCTCATGCTGCTGAACATGAGAGGCTACATTTGGCTTTCCCAGGCTGCTGCTCTGCTAACAACCTCCTGGGTTGCTGCCCTTGGAAGAGTGATTGGCACTTCAGCCAATCACAGGTGGGATGGCAGCTGTACCTGCCAAGAGCTTGCCCTCAAGCAGGAAGGGGTTCAGAGGACTCAGGCTATGGCGGGAGCAACAGCAAAAAGAACCAAGGGCTGGTCCCGAGAAGAGGGAGGAGGCCGAGTGAGCCTGCAGACCCCTGTGCAGACACGCTGGAATGGGCACCACAGGGAGGAAGTCGTCCCTGGAACCTGACCTGAGAAGAGAAGTGGATCAGCAGCCATGGAGGGGTAGGGGGGAGGGGGAAGGGGGGAGCAATCTTCCTGGAAATGGAATAAAATGTTCATCGTTTATCTTTCCTAGTAGTAATTTGGTCAGATTGGAAAGCAGAAAAACTTGAATGAGATGGGAGGACATTGGTATTGCCTCCGCGAATTCAGAAGCTCTTTGATATGCTGTCAGTACCCACTTTGGCAGGCACAATGSCCACACCTGCAACCAGCAACTGGGGAGGCTGAGGCAGGAGGGTTGCAAGTTCAAGGCCAGCCTCAGCAATTTAGTGCAGCCCTAAGCAACTTAGCAAGATCCTGCCTCAAAACATTAAAAAAAAAGGGGGTGGGGTGGGGCTGGGCATGTAGCTTAGACATCTCTAGTTCCAAAATAATAATAATGACAACACTACCACCCACTTTGGGTTTTCACATCCACAAGCCTATTAGCCTGCTGGGTGCTGCCTTCCTGGCTTTCCCCGTCCTCTGGGCTGGGCCCACCATAGCCTTTGTGAAGCCTCCACGCTCCTCTCTCCCACGGGGACCTTCGGGCTGTATGATTCCTTAGCTCTAACCACAGTCCCTTGGGCAATTTGGTTACTGCCTGGATGAAAATGGCCCATGTTTTCCAAGGCTGCGTGGCTTGAAAGGCGTTGCCAAGACAACACACTACTGGGGATAGAGACTGGCTTGAGTGAGGCACTTTCATTCTGTGTGGTGTACCTCTCTGAAACCACTTTCTACAGTGCTTCTCCCTTTCAGTGAGATTTTTAAATGTCATATATGTTTAGCAGTGTGCTTTGAACAATTTAGTAAATGAAATTTTTTGTTGCTATGGATTTAAAGTCCTAAATTTAGGGTGCTTTTTCTCCAGAGAATTTTATGTAATCAAATACTGAATTTAAAATGGAGACAGAAAAGACAGTAGAATGAAACAAGACATTATTACTGTATGTATACATGTGATTACACAACTAATATTATTCTGCAACATGTACACTAAGAAAAATGAGAAATTATATCCCATCTATGTATGATATATTAAAGTGCATAAATACAAAGAAAAATGGGTTTCAGTTCCCTGAATATTTTGATTAAATCCATTTCCTTATTTTGAAAGTTTGTATTTGTCAAAAAGTCAATAAATTTTTGTTTTTCACTAAAAAGCCTGGGGCTGTTGGAGGTGAGTCCATTTGGGCAGAGCCACACACCTGTTATTGCCTCCTGGGCCCTGGGAGTCTGTGGGAAGCGGGGGAATAGGGTGGGATAGTGAATGTGTAGACCATCCCTGTGTGAATGAATGTTGCTCCAGTGACTTTCCAAGAGCAGGAACAGCCCCTCTGGCACAGCTGCTGACCCAGCTGGATATCAAAGTTTTAGTCAGAGCCTGTTTATAGCCAGGAGTGAGACTGGCAGCTCCCACCCACAGCAGGGAAACAGCCGGAAAACAGCCTGTGGCCTCTTGAGGCAAACATCCCTCAGGGTCAAATCGGAGGATGTCACCAGGGCCACATACAGTGTGAAAGGCCAGGGAATTCAGGACTGTAGGGAAATAACGAATTCCTCACAATGCTGAACATAAAGGGTAAAAATGCAAACAAATCTCTAAATGGAACTTGGGACTTGCCAGGCAGGCACTGAAATAACTCATTATGCCTCATAGGCCACAAATAGCCACAGCAGCTCTATGTGAAGGTTGACCAGCAGTTCAGAAGGAGCAGGGCCTGACCGGGGTGGAGGTGTGGGGGACACTCCACGGGGGCAGTACACCAGTCCCACTGGCCCTTCCTGGCCTGCAACAAAGGCTCTGCCCTTGCCACTCTTCTGTGCTTTGTACCTACCCACGTCAGGCTAAGCAGAGACGGGTCTGGCCAGAAAATGGAGCCATAGGAGAGCTGGTGCTGGGAGCAGTCGACGTCCACACCAAGGACCCTGGCACTTCACTAATTCATGTCAGCAAAACTGAGGGCACATCTGCGTTTCAAGGGGAGGAGTACAAAGAAGAAAGAAAAATCACTAGGATCAGTAGTTTGGCACAGAATATGGTCAGTGTGTTGTTTAAACATCCAAGGGGTTCTTGTTGCTTCTTAACCTTCTTAAAGGCCCTTGTGAGTGAGATGCAGGTGCCAAAAGTCCCCACCAGACTTCAAGACTTCTGGGGATGGTGGGAGAAACAATGTGCGGCTTTCTTCCCTCCTAATTCTGGCCAAGGACCAAACTGTACTCTTCTTTACCACCTTGAGGACACCCTGGGAAGGGAATAAGCCTCTTTAGCACAATTAAAACAGTATATTTTAATCCTTCCACGGGATACACCACCTCCCTGGGAAACAATTCCATACTGAGGCCTTTGCAGGCCTGATGTAGGCCCCTGGCACTGCTGGTGGCCCTGCTGTCACTCCCCATAGCCCTTGAGTTCACTAGAAAGGCTGCATTACCCACTTTGTATCCCAGAGCCTGAAGCTTTTTCTACCACAGCAGGTCCTTAAAAATGCCTAACAAGAGAACAGACTGAGGCCTGTTCCACTCCAGATGACACCTCTGGCCAGAGCAAGGAGAGGGCCAATTATTTTCCCTCTGGCTATGGTTCTACCATGGTTCTGAACTGTGGCTGTCTGCAGGAGCACTTGAAGGCATCTACAAACTCTGCAGGATTGTGCTTGGCACCCAGAGATTTCACTGGCGTGGCTGTGTGGAGCTAGGAATCAGTTTTAAAATGCTCCAGTGATCCAAGGTGCAGCCAAGGTTCAGAACTATGAATGTGGCTGGGTGTAGGGGTACACACTTGTCATCCCAACAACTGAGGCAAGAGGTTCACAGTTCAAGGCCAGCCTCAGAAATTTATCAAGACCTTGTCTCAAAATAATAAGAAAAAGGATTGAGGATGTAGCTATGTGGTAAAGCTCCCCTGAGTTCAATCCCCAGTACCTAAAAAGAAAAAATGAAAAAACAAAAACACCACTGTGTGCCTCTCTCCATGAGGAAATGCTGGGTTTCATCTCTGAGAAAGCTGTAAATTCCAGAAATGCTGGTCTGTGTATTCAGCTGGTGCTTACTGATTCCCTGCAGTGTCCATGACACAAGACAGTTGCTCAAAGCCAAAAGAAAGAATTAAGGTCTCAGTAAAGGCAAATACATAGGTAATTACAGAAGTTGGCACTATTGTACCAATAGTTTTGCGAGGCTTGTGCATTTCACAGAATGGTTAGTG